CGGCATCATTGGATAAGTTAGTTAGACTAAACAAATATGAAGGAATTGAAAAGATTAAAGACTGGGAAACTCGTTTCAGATATACAAGTACCAACCCATATATCAAATCTAAAACTGATTTGAACTTACTGACTGATAAGGGTGTATATCCCTATGACTATATGAATTCGTGGGATAAATTTGATGAAACAAAACTGCCAAAGAAAGAAGACATTTACAGTCATTTGTATGAAGAAAACATCACTGACAAAGACTACGCCAGAGCAAATATTGTATGGAAACATTTTAACATAAAAAATCTTGGTGAATATCATGATTTGTATTTGATGACTGATGTATATTTACTGACGGATGTTTTTGAAAATTTTAGAGATATGTGTTTGAACTATTATGGATTAGACCCAGCATATTATCTGACTTTACCTAATTATTCTTGGAATGCCTTTTTAGCACAACCGGAGTTAGACTTCAACAAATCCACATAAAAGAAATGTATGAGATGATTGAAAATGGATTAAGGGGAGGAATGACGCAGTGCTCCTTCAAGAAAGTAGAAGCAAACAATAAATACATGAATGAAGATTATGATAAATCTAAACCATCATCATACATAAGTTATTTAGATGCTAACAACCTTTATGGATTAGCAATGTGTAAGAAACTGCCCTATGATGATTTTAAATGGTATTACGGCAGAATGGATGAAAAAAGGGTAATGAAATATAGTGATGATGATGACATAGGATACATATTAGAAGTTGATTTAGATTATCCAAAGGAACTTCATGATTTACATAAAGACTATCCATTAGCACCTGAAACCATGAGTATCAGTGAGAATATGCTTTCACAAGTCCAAAAGGATATACATAAATACTATTATGGAAAAGATGCCAGTGATGAAAAGACAAATAAGTTAGTATTAAATGTTATGGATAAAAAGAAGTATGTTTTACATATATCAGCATTGAAGTTTTATTTACAGCATGGATTAAGTCTTAGAAAAGTCCATAGGGGAATAAGTTTTAAACAAGCAAACTTCTTAAAACCATTCATTGAATTCAACACCGAAAAGAGAAAGAATGCCAAGCATGATTTTGAAAAAGATTTGTTTAAGTTAATGAATAACAGCGTATACGGCAAGACCATGGAAAATGTAAGAGAGCATGGTGATTATGAGATAGTTAATACACCTGAACGCTTCCAAAAACTGGTAAATAAACCGCTATTCAAGCACAGGTATATCATAAATGAAGACCTTGTAATTGTTGAAGAAGATAAACACACAGTAGAACTAAACAAACCTATTTACATGGGTATGACAATCTTGGATTATTCAAACAATCATATGTATTCTTTTTATTATGATGTCTTGAAACCTAAATATAATGACGATATTAAACTGGTGTATACTGATACTGATAGTTATGTAATCAAAGTTGAGACTGATGACTTATATGAAGACTTGAAGGATATTAATGATTACATGGACTTTAGCAATTATCCACCAGAGCATCCAAACTATGATAAAACAAACAAGAAGGTATTAGGGAAATTCAAGGATGAAATGAACGGTAGAATAATTACTCACTTTATAGGATTGAAACCAAAGGCATATTGCTATAAAGTATATGGTGATGATAAAGAACATAAAAAGAGTACAGGAGTAGTAAAGCATAAAGTGAGCAATCAGTTGAGTTACAACACCTATGAAGAGACATTGAATAGAAATTGCAAAGAAGAGGTTAGTTTTAACACCATGAGAAGTAAGAACCATCAGATATACAGCATCAATCAGACCAAATATGCTTTAAGTAATTATGATAATAAACGATACTGGTTTAATGATTTTGAGAGTTTGCCTTATGGACATTATGCCATCAAATATCTACATAATGCCTATATAAATAGATGTGAACAGAGATGAAAGCGGACAAATTTATAAAATAGTTGATGTTGGCTGAAGTAATTGCCACATCGTTTCAACAACGTTGACAAACTAAGTCAAAGAATGGCAAGACTCTTGAAGATATTGTAAATCTTATCTACATACACAATACAAATCCCCAAAAACACTAGTTTTACCCTATGAAATCGTTTGATGAGTTTTGTGTTGAAAATTGTAAAAAAATCTTATTGAAGAATACCCATGCCAAAACAAATAGCAACTCGAAAGAACGAAGGTGGACATATTGAAAATGATAAGAACGGTCTCAACAGATGTATTGCTGGTCGGACTTGAATGGAAGATTGCGGCGGCACAGGAGAGCATCACCTTCAACAGTTAAAAAGAAGCATAGAGAATACTGAAAAATACACAGAAAATAACAAACAGCATCATGAGAACAAAATAACATCATCATGAGAACAAAAAACAAAATACAAGAACACTAGAAAAAAATAAAAGAAAATGCAAAGAATTTCACGTATAGAAAAGAAAACAAAGAAGCAATGAGACAAACACAAAGAGAAAGATACAAAAGCGATAAAAATAAAATAAATGCAAAAACGAAAAGAAATGCGAAAACAGAAGAAAGAAGAACAACTACTAATCAACCAAAAGCAATTCATGCCTATTGTATCTTTTACTCATTCCATCTACTTTGTAGTATCTATTATTCATCATATCACGACCAACTAATAGCACTTTGTATTTCCTTTCACTCCACTGACTTCTCGTTTCTTTTCTTGATACATAGTTGCCCTTTCCTTTATCAAATATCTTAACATAATCTCCTTCACTTATGTTTGGATATTTTCTGTTGTGCTTTTCTTTCAGTATCAGGTTTGTTCTGACCTGAATTACGTTATCAAGGTTGTGCGCATTATTTGGTGTTGTTTTGGTGCTACTATGGACTTGGTTGTTGTATCTATTCAACGAGGGCTTTAGCACTTCCACCCATGCTTTGGTTTTGTAATGCCTCAATCTGTCCCCAATCATTTTTTTAACGGTGCGTATCATCCTTTCTGCCTGATTCGCGTGCGTCTTTGTTATTACGTGCGTCATACCTTCTTCCTTAAAAAAGGTTTGCAGCTTCTTGCTGTTCAACGCTCCTTCATCGTCGCTGTAAATCGACAAAGGCTGACCTAATACCTTAAAACACTCCATGACTGCTTTATAAACGTCATCACCGTCTTTATTCTCGATAGGGACTATGTGGCATTTTTTACTAAATATATCTATGCAAACTAAACCATATCTTAGCTGACTTTTGATTTCAGAACCTACGTCCCGCAACAGACTGGTAACATCCATCAAGTCAATTTGGAATTCATACTTGGGAAAGGGAGCAGCGTAAGAATTGTAGTTCTTGTAGTTTCTTGTTTGCTTGTTGGGTTGCGCCCTCATCCATGCAGATACCATATCCAAAGTTATGCCCACATCGACTTTCCTAGCCTTTTCATACAAGTCCCTCACCGAACCGAAGCCCTCGTCCACGTCGTAGTATATTCTTTCCAATACCTTTTCTTTTTCCAATCTTGTCATTAAAAATACTTAGATTAGAATTTTATGATGTTTTGACGCATCATAAAATCATAGTGAACTCAAACCAAAAACCTCTGGCACTTCTTCGTTTTCTTGTGCTTTGCCAAGTTTGATTTACAGCTCACGGCAGAACCGCATATATCGCACACGCACGGTTGTTTCGTTTTCTCTCGGTAATATCTTTGGAAATACGTTTCGTCGTTCGGTTTTCTGTTGTTGTATCCATCGTCCTGCTTTCTCCATTCAGCATTGGTGTTCTTATTAACGGATGAGTTTGCTTTGCAGCTTTCTTCCGATGAAGATGTTTCGCTGTCAGTCAGTTCTCTGTTTCCAAAACCGTTCCAAATAAAGTCGAAGGTGTCATTCGTCATGGGGATTTCAATTCCATTACTTACAAAGTAACAAGGCATATTGTGTATATATAGTTATATATCTTAATATTTTTTTAAGTATATTTGTACTATGTATATCAAGTTGTGTTTGTGGCATTTCATAAAAGTGCCTAACACAAAACAGGTTCAACATCAAAGTCTATAGGTTTGAGCAGTTTACCCTTCCAACTTGCTACCGGCTGACTTGTTTTGGAGACACCCAGTCCTAAACCTCGAAAATCCAAACCCAAACTTGTGAGACTTGAGTTTTGTCCCAATCCAATCCAATCCAAAAACCAAACCAATTTCCCCCCGAAATCGAGCCGTTTTTTCCCAAAAACGGAACATGTTTTTCCCAAAACGGAGCCTGTCTTTCTGAAACGGAACCAGTTTTTCACCAAAACCGAGCCACTTTGTCCCAAAAGCGGAGCATGTTTTTCCCAAAAACGGAGCTTCCCAAAGTCGGTCGCAGTTTCCCTAAAATCGGTGGCTGATTTTCCCAAAGTCAGTGACGGATGTCCACAAAATCGGTGACGGATTTTCTCAAAGTCAGTGGCAGATTTTCCCAAATTCGGCGGAAAATTTCCCCTAAATCTGATTTCCCAAAATTGGCGACCGATTTTCCCCAAAGTCGGTGACAGATTTCCCCAAAGTCGGTGGCTCATTTCCCCAAAATCGGTGGCTGATTTCCTCAAAATCGGTGAAGGATTTCCCCAAAGTCGGTAACGGATTTCCCCAAAATCGGTGACTGATTAGCCCACCGAGCCAAGCATGTTCTTTCCAAAAGGTTTTTTTGACAAACCTTTTGGATTTCTGCGTGTGTCGTCCTTGCTCTTCAAGCCCTTGCAAGTGAAAGAGTTTCTCTATGGACAAGTGCAAACTTTTGACATTACAATGTTCACTGTCTTAGCACTGGAATTTGTTTCTCTTCAAACCTCATTCTAGCCAAAGAACTTAGTATTCACATTATGAGTAGCATCAACGCAGTGAGTGATATCAACCTTACTTCCTGACAGGACTCACATTTGACACAATCACACAGAGATGTGTTAAGACGCGCAGAGACTTTGCATGGTCAACCTTTACCAAAGATCGTCGCAAAAGTCAACTATTCAAAGAACACAAATGGACTTTCACATAATTTGTTGCCATTACTGGTTGAAGCCGTTGTAGCACCCATGAGAGATGGTGCGCGACGCCATGGGCGTGGTGCAATTTGGTGCATGCTCCTCGCCTGCGGTGTGGGGTGCTTTGTTGCGCCGCCACGTGTGGGGTTGTACCAAGTGAGCTCGCAACGATGCCGAGCATGCCTCCGCCTGTCGCTGAAGAATATGAGCTTCTGGGAAGTTGCCACCACAGTAGCCAATGCAGCCAATAGTACGACAGGTTCATACCTCACAGAGGTCAACCGTACAGCCACAGCGTTTCTGCAGAGAAGAGATGCAGTAGATCGCGATGATGCTATTGCCAACCTCTGCGAACAGATGCAAATAAAAGGTAGACTTTGTCTGGTGCTTGGGGGCAAAAACTTGGGCAAGACACTGCTCAAGGAAAAGGCTATTGCTAGATGCAAGGCAGCAGTGAACATCCTTTCAGTCAACATGCGGGACGCAGACATGCTTGGCAAGGATCTGATGACGGCACTCAACTTGCAACGTCTGAAATCCCTTGGGTGGGCACGTCTCTCGTTGGAGATGTTGGGTGCAGTCATCCGATTGCCTGTCAACTACGCCCTGAAGAGGATTAGTGGACTCAGTCAAGCTGGAGCGGTGGCTAAGGAAGCGTTAGGTGTCGCAACATCACATTGTCAAGTCAACATCGACAACTTTATCTCCCGAAGCAGGAAGATCCCGAGCATCATCATCGATGAAGCAAATTTGGCACTACCTGGAATGAATGCTGGAGATGGAAGCGTTGTAGCTGGATCAGCTCTGCAAGCCCTCACGAAGTGGACCAAGGAGACAAGTCAAGCAAGTGTGATCCTGGTCTCCTCAGAGTTTGGCTATCCCTTCCGCCTGCAAGCTGCAGGGTTAGACCTCAGGGACACCGGCAACATCATTGTCATCGGCGAAGTGCCAGAGTCAGACATGCTCAAGATGCTGAAGGATGATTGGAGCATGGACGAGGACTTGGCAGAGATGTTCTACAACTACTTTGGCGGCGACATTTACACCACCAAGCAGGCTTTGGACAGCCTCATTCGGAAGAAAGATACCTTCGACCCCTTTGCGGTTGTGCGATGTCCCGGGCTGCCTTCGTGTGTGGAAAATGCAGCGGCCAGGGCTCACCTCGAGAACATCGCGAAGCAAGGCTTCTCTTTGGTGAAGAATGTGAAGACGGACGAAGGTGCGAGGATGATTGCCCAGGAGAACGTGGGCGGGGTCATCGACAAGGATGCCATCACCTTCGGTTTACCCACCATCTTCACTGGCGCAGACACGGAATGGGCTGTCATCCCCTCGTCTTATCATATGAAGCTGCTGATTGCCCGTAAGCTCCAACAAATTCCTTTGCCAACATCAGGACGGTGTTTCAGAAACTGTTTTTTTGGTTCTGTTTGCTTACACTGTTCCACAAGGAGGCTGACAGAGGTTGAATAAACTTGTTGAGGTTTATATACTGTAGGTGCACAATCATGAGGTTGATAGATAAAGCGATGCAAGCATCCATACCTCCTCCCTGCAAGGTGGTACTGGGACTGCACAACCAGCCGTTTGGGTGAGACAAATCCGCAAGGACTGCAGAGAAGTGCATTCAATGACTGTGTAAAAAACATTTTGTTTCAGCAAAGTCGTTGCTCTGACCAAAGCAGTGCACTGATGACTTTCGGACAGTTCGGTTGAAGATTATTATCGCCGTTCGTTCAGGTTCATGCTCTTGTCCCGCAAAATAAAGCGTGATGAAGGGTGAGTCCACTGTGCAAGATAATACACTGTTATGCTACGAACTTGGCCGGGTTCAGGACTTTTGGGGAGAAGATTGCAGGGTCGTTCATTCCTCAGGATTTATGAAATATGTATTCTAATAATCTTCCTCAATTTGATAAAGAGGATTTAGACTAAAGACTTTGTATGATTTTCTGCCACGCCCTTGTTCCTTTGCTATGCCCTTTGGTAAGTAAATGCGAGTAGCACACGGTTGGAAAGGGTTGAGTTTGAAGACGAAAAGCCATGCCCCAAACTAAAAGCGTGATTAAGGGTAAGTCCACTGCGCAAAAATATACACCGTCATGCGACAAACTTGGAAGGGTTCAGGACTTTTCGGAAGAAGATTGCAGGGTTGTTCATTCCTTTGGATTTGTTAAACATGTATTTTGATAATCTTCCTTCAATCGATAGAGAGGATTTAGACTAAAGACTTTGTATGATTTCCTGCCATGCCCTTGCTCCTTTGCTATGTCCTTTTGACTGTTCCCACCTCAACATCTCGCCTTTTGAGTGGTACAGCAAGTGTTGAACAAGCAGCCTTGTCATCCCTAGTTCCATTCATGTGTTGCTTTGCACGGTTCGTGTGCTAAAAACGGTGTTGATTGGTCTTGTCCATAAAAGTAGGCGTGTGCTCCATCAATTCTCCCACTCAAGCGTCAAACGCATTGTTATGTGCAAGAGCCACTGCAACAGTTTATGCCTTTGTTCCCTTTGGAAGTTCCTCTTACTAGTGTTAGGTTTAAATACAAGTGGCTTGTTCAGCCTTCTTTCTGGCATCCTTTGCCTTGTCACGGTTTGTTTCAGCACGGTTGGGGCGATTGCATGGTTGTTTATTTGGATGTTGTCATATTCAACTTCGAAAGGACTTAGACGCAACATATTGTTTCTTTGCCCTTTGCTTGTTCCTTTGCCATGTTCTTTTGAGGGAAGTAAATGTTTTATGCACAAAAAGCAAGCAGTAGCGTATTTATTCCTCAGGATTTGTTGAATGATATTTTCTCAACATCTTCCGCAATTTGATAGAGAGGATTTAGACTAAGACTTTGTATGTTTTCTGCCATGCCCTTGTTCCTTTGCTATGCCCTTTTGACAGGTGTAGGAAGAACTTTTTGACGAAAAGCCAAAAAAGTCCCACCTCAACAGACGTTGACAGTTGAAAGTTGCATCCGTTGAACAAGCAACCTTGTTTTTACATCCCTATGTTTGTTTTGTTTCTTCCTCTGCAAAGTTCCTGTGCGAAAACCGGTGTTGATTGGTCGTGTGAATAAAGATAGGGTTGTGCTCCATCAGTTCTCCCACTCAAGCATCAAAGGCTTGTAATTTGCAAAAGTCAATGCAACAGTTTATGCCTTTGTTTCTTTTCGAGCCTTTGACTAGTGGTAGGTTAAGAACAGAAGTGGTTTGTTCAGCTGAAACTTCATGAAGAAATTTCCCTCAGCCATTTTCGCATCCCAAGGTCAAAATTCTTGCGTAATGCATTGCATTCCTTGTCATGCGCATTGTTCTTTTGCACTTTGCTTTTCGAAAGGCGCAGCCATCGGCTGTCGCCCACCGCCTGTTGCAATTGCAGGACGGTGAGAAGTTCGCACAGATTGGCAACCCGTTCAAAGTCACCGGAGAGCTGGCAGACGCAGTGGCCTTAGCTTTGCTATTGCCCTTCTTGCTGGTTCGTCTTCATGCTTTCTATGCAAAGCCCGTAGCTCAGTTTGATTCATTTCAAAGGTGGATGACCTTAAGAAAGTCCAGAGCTCAGAGCTTGTTGTTGTTCAATCAAACTTGATGCTGTGCCTTGGTGAAAGTTGAATGAAGAAGACAAACAAAGCAGGCAGCGATGAAAGCCAGAACATGTTTTGTTCAACGCGTGTGCAAGTGCATGGTGGTTATTGTCGTTTTGCCGTGAGGCAATTAAGGCAGAGAAGCCGAACAAAGTGAAGTGTGACGCAGATGAAATTGATATTTTTAGCCAACAGGACGAGCCGCTGTTTATGCCACCAACTGTTTTGCTAGTTGTATTAGCTTCAATTTCTCAGCGTTTGTTCGCTCGACTCAGCGCTTTGCATTGCAATGTCTTTGCTCACTTTTCACTTTTCACTCTTTTGTCAATCGCTGGTCAGGTGAATTTGTCCAATTGTTTTCTTTCACAACACCTCACCCAACCCCTTGCACACCACCGTCTCAACTTGCCTTTGCAGCATTGTGGTTTGCCAGTTTGCTCATCGCGTATTTGCAGGATGGAAGTTGGATTAGGGAAGATGAAGACGCATCTGTCAATCGCGGCACGTCTAAGCCCGGCACTTGGTGTTTTGTTTTGAGCAGCCTTTAACCATGCAGGGCTTCAAACTGATGTCAATGTTACAACCTTCTGATGTATTTTTGTTTTTTTGCCGCCTCTGAGTTGCGCTTGGTTCGAGAAACAGCTGGTTTGACCACACTTCAAGTTTGTGTTTTTCCCTCCAGTTTTAAGGACAGATTGCTATGGCTTCACATTGCCATCAGCGTGAGTGCTTTTCTCAGCAGCGTTACGCCTAGCGTTCCACTTGTCTTGCCCTTCTGTGGCTGAGGTGAAACCAATTGAGAGCAAGGGTTCCCAATAGTTTCAACGAATTCCATCTTTGGAGTAAATGTAGAGTGGATGTCGCTGTGGCATGACCGTGCATCACTCACAAGATATGAGACACTGCGTTGACACTCTTGTCCAGCAGGTTGTGCACACAGCGGGTACAGAAACAGTGAACCAAAAGCTGTTCAAGATACGTTTCACTCGGGCAATGTATACGCCCAAGCACAGCCACGAATCCAACCATGCATTGTGGGAGAAGGTAAGTGCTTGATTTTGAACCGGCTTTCTTGAGAGAAACTTGAAAAGAAAACTGGAGGAATATATATTGAACATTTGTGGAAAAGAAGTGGACAAAGTTGGTGTGCCTTTGACAGGGTTAAGCAAGAAGGGGGAAAAGTATTGACAATTTTGAGAAATTCCGACCAATTGGTCTTGGGAGCAGTTCTTTTGAGAAATCCACAGGTTCACCCTCGGTTGTGTTTTCCTGCAAGCTCCACGAGTGGATTGCGGGCTGGAAATCCCTCATTGTTTTTGTGTTTTGAGCAAGTATGTACAAAAGTGTTTTTTGCATTTTTGGCTTCGGGAGTTGGGGTTCCGGTGAACGAGGCTGGGCTCTCAGGAAATCAACCACCGATTTTGGGAAATCCGTCACCAGCTTTGGGAAAATCTGCCTTCGATTTTGGGGAAATCCGTCGAAATCCGTCACCGATTCTGCCACCGGCTTTGGGGAAATCAGCCACCGACTTTGGGAAAATCAGCCACCGACTTTGGGGAAAAACTGGCTCTGTTTTAGGGAAAGACTGGCTCGCTTTTAGGGAAAGACTGGCTCGATTTGGGCGAAATTGGTTTGGTTTTTGGATTGGCTTGCGACAAAGCTCAAGTCTCACTGTTTTGAACGCCAAACATGTTTGGGTTTGGATGTCACTAAAAGTAAATCAACCGGTGGGAAGTTGGAAGGGTAAAATGCTCAAGCCTATAAACTTTGATATCGAAACTGTTTTGGGGTTCGTGTTAGGGACTTGTATGCGATACCACAAACACAAACTGATATACATAGTTCCTATTGAGGATGAACATACTTAAATAAATATTAAGATATATAGGTAATTATATATACCATATGCGTTGTTACTTTGTAAGTAATGGAGTTGAAATCCCGATGACGAAGGAAACCTTTGCTTTTATTTGGAACGGTTTTGGCAATAAAGAACTCAATGACAGCGAAACGTCTTCTTCGTTTGAAGAAAGCTATGAAGCAATTTCATTAGTCTAAAGGCCCACAAAACCCTAATGAAGAAGGTAACACGACGGATACTACAATAGAAAACCGAACGATGAACAATATTTCCAAAGATATTACCAAGAGAAGACGAAACGACCGTGCGTATGCGATATATGCGGTGCTGCTATGAATTGCAAGTCAAATCTGGTAAAATACAAGAAAACCAAAAAGTGCCAAAGGTGTTTAGTGTAAGTTTATTATGATTTTATGATGTAAGAAAATATTATAAAAATATAATCTAAGTTTTTTT